AAAAGGATAAGGAGTTGGCTTTTATGAGGGAAATTTTGAAAGAGGCACACAGGGGATTAGCCAAAAGAAATTCAGAGTCCACAGATGGCTTGTTAAAAGGAGAATGAGATTAACTCCTGAACTTGGAAAAGAGGGAATAGCAGTACCAAAATGTAATCCAAGGTCATGAATGACTAAGTGGCATTTAAAGCGAAAGATGGACTCTTTGAAAGGTATCATTTAAACAGTTATAATTATAATATAGGAGTTCAGGAGTTAATAATAATCGTTAAAAGTGACATTAAAATACCATGATGACGTTGCCAGAGTGAAGTCATTTGCAGAGAAAGACGGGTTAAACCACAGAAATGAAAACAAAAGAGGAAAATCAAATCAGCATGAAAGGCACCAGTGGCCTTTCAAATGGCCTTGAAAGAAAGATTAAAAAGAAAAAAAAACAGAAGGAAGAATTTACAAAGCACAGAACTGTAGTATAAACATGTCACTCACATATTTTCTTGTGTTGTGCTCTGACATTTCCCTGCCTCTTAACATATGTCTTCTCAGACTGGTTTATTCTATGTAAAGGAAAAGGAGAGTAAGAGGAGCAGATGTGGGTTATGTTCCCTGCATGGGATAATGAATTAGGGGCCGTGGGTCCCTAATTTCTCGCAGAGCTTCAGTGGCACCTGGGGACTTGTTCCTCATGTAATTCCCACATAATGTAAGGCATAGGTGGCAAGCGGCAGCCTTGCGCCTCCATGAGGGAAACCTCAGCAGCAGCAGCAGCAGCAGAAGCAGAACATAAGGTGCCACAGAGTCTTGGATTGGGATTCTACTGCTGATACGATCTTGGCAAATGGACATACGTGGGTATTCAAGGAACATAAATGGATATTCAAGGGACAAAAAGGTGGCTATTATTGTTCTCTCAAACTTCGACATAGAGATTCAAAGCTTTCTTACCTGCACAAATGTCTGATGTGGGCTATGGAAGATTCAGTAGCATATGGGCTTTTTAGTGCAGGCTATCAATATTACCTGTTTAAAATCTTGCGTTAAAATCCATCAGTGTGTTGTGTTTTTTACTGGATCAAGAATGTAAAGCAAACTTAATACTTCTTATTCAAAAACAAAAAATGTCTTTAACAGTTATCACAGTTATTTTTATAACCTTTTCAGAATTGCTCTGTTCTCTTTCTCTTCATTTTTTGTTTACCTCAAGGTTTCCAGGTTTTGTTATCAGTACTAACTTTGAAAAGTAATGAGAAAATAATTTTTAAGAAGCAAACATGAAGTGTTTTACACTTTTGAAGAGTAAATTGTTCAAGCAAACTTTGATTTGAACAACACCAAGGACTAGCTCTTGTTAACAAAAGGTCAGGTTGGTCTGTGGCAGCTTTGATGAAGATTTAAATGTCACAGCACCAGATATGGTGTTTGCTTATGAACCAATCTTTTACAATTCAGTTTCTGCACTCTTGTTTTGCAGTAGAGATTTAGCAGTGATGGAAATATTTGTATATGTGAAAGAGACCATGGCTAGCACAGAGGGCTAAATACAAAACAGAATTAATTCCTTTATATGACTGCAGCTTCATCACAGCTATTTTCATTAATAGCAGAGGTCAAGCATCCAGAGAAAGTTCTAAACAAAAAAAGATATACGTTTTGTTTCCAAACACCTTGAGAGAGATCCAGCTGATTCTAGAATGACAACTGGCCATTTTGTGAAGGCAATGTGCACAAGGCATGCTAGTCTGATCACAGGTATGGTACTTGATGCTGTAATAGTCTCTTGCACAATGAGAAAATGTAAATTTTGGACTACCTACTGTACAACTGAAATCTTGAAGTCCATTTTCTTGGTTAATTAATTAGAATACATCAATAACTTATAATGTATTTTCTTTTTATAAGTTCAGCTTATGAGTCATCATATTAGGATTCAGTGCTCTGAAAATTCAACCAATAAAGAAATTGTTTGATTCTCACTATGCCAAGCTGCCCAAAAACAACTTTCTAGCTTGCATTCTTATATGAAACAGAAGAATATAATTCTTATTCTATTATATAATTCTTCATATAAGAATAAAATTGATTTAATGTTATTCTTCTTCTTCTATGAAGAAGAAATGCAAAACAAAGCAGAGGTTAATTTAAAAAACAAAGCAAAACAAAAAACTAATAAAATGATCTCCTTAGTAAAGGTTGAATTAGTCATCCTAGGTGGAATTCCATTATTTTTAAGTTTTTGTTTACAACAGGAAAAACATAATATTTACATTTTCCATGAAAAGGGAATTAATTAAAGGACTTTCTTTGGAAAAAAAGAACCGCCTCTTTCTGAAATATCATGACGTCCTCTCCTGAGGGACATGCTGCAGGCTTCACCAGCTGTTTGGGCTATGTGTTCCCCACCTCAAGGCTACTGCTGAGGCTGTCTTTGGGCAGGAGTGACTGTGAGCCCCCCATTCCTTCCCATCTCGAATGACATAGGAAATTTGGCAATTATCCAGCCAGATCAGATATATGGTTAGACCATGCAAAATATTCTTATGCACCAATCCACGAATATCTTTCCTCCATGACTGCTCATTGTTGCAAAAAGTTCATTATATTAATATCTTACAGTTGTTGATATTATTTTGTAATAATTACAGGAATATTTTCAGTAATTTTCACTGATGTCTCTCCTAACTAAGCTACAGAACCTGTATGTCCTGTCAGTAGCAGAGTCCGATTGAATGCACTTGTGTCAACTGTGAATTACTGTCAGAAAATCCTACATAGCAATGTTTGAACTGCAGTGTATAATAGTCTCTGAAATTGTACAGAAGTAGCTAATACTTTACTGCTGAGCAGAATAATTTAGTGTGAAGTTTGATATTTTCCTCCCTGTTTTCTACTAGTTCATGGCACAAAAGCAAAAATGTTGAGTTACATGGATAAGCTACTGCTGCTATTTTGTGAAAAATAATTTCTCAGTGTTTTAATTATTTCTGACTATGCTTTATGATTTCACTATCTTTTTAATATTTTCTAGTAGTTTTTTTTTTTCAGATAAAGTGTACCTTTCACATCTGATTTTCACCGTGCTTGTTGTCATATGCTTCATTTTTCTGGTTTGCATCTGGGGTTATGTTTTATGAAATGTAGAACTTGTCACTTTAATATTAAAATCACCATTTGTACTCAAAGATACAGCATACTCTTTCTCGGAAAGATTCTAATCACAAAAGTTCAACCGTGTTAATGTGCTAAACTTGTTTTGTCTACTCTAAACTAAGCAACAAAACTATACAATTGCTAAGAAGAAGGTACCAAGAGCTAATTTTTTACATTGATAAACATGCAAGAAGAGGGTTGACCTCAAGGGAACAAATGTAGAACAGAGAAGCACACCCCTGGGGTGACAGATTGTCTTGGCCAAACATGCCTGGAGCCAGTTAGGTTCAGAGACAAGCTGGGGGACTGCAGCTAGAGCATCACCAAGCATAGGCAAGGCACCAAAACAAGAGGGTGCTCAGGCTCCTCCTCCCAGTCCTACTCAGCAATGATCACAACGATGCTTCAATGATCACAAGCCATGGCTTCTTAATCATCTGCTCATGGCCCAAGGACAAACAAATATAAAACTCGGCTGAACTCCCAATCTGGCCCAGATTTTTGTCCACGTCTGAAATTGCTCCAGAACTATTATCTGCTTGGGGGATTGGTCCTCAAATTGCTTTTCTGGACTGAGTTCAAGTAGTTTTTCCTAAAGCCAAGATCTTTGGACCAGGCTGACATGAAACAGTTCTGTCAGATGCAAAATGTAAGAGAATAGTTTTTGGCCTTCTTTGCTTTTCTCCCTAAATATGAGCACAATACAGTTGCATTGGCAGGAATCCTGTGGCTGGTATAAGAGCAGTTTTGAGTCCCATTCGTAGAATATCCTTCAGATTATATGCTCTGTAAAATCTAGTTATATACATCAAGAACCATGTAGCGATTGCCTTTAGCTTTGCCTAGATCTAGTCTCCTAGGAACTACATTTGGGAAAAAATGTACTGGGATAAAATGCAGTATTGTGGTAGAAGAAAAAATAATCAACACTTGTAATGAACATGAAAATCTTATCTAAAATCTGAGGCACACAAATTAGTATACACTGTAATTTAAGATCTCACTAAAGGCATCGACAATCTTTTCTGCCTAAAAAAATTTCTGAGTAATATTTGACCAATACGGTATCTGCAAATGTTCTTTTTGGTTGTGCATTAGACACTTCAATCATTGCCAGTGGTTCTAGGCTCAAATTCTATTTCAGTATAAACTTCAATCTTATTGGCAGTTTCATGACGGCAAGTTTTCAGAGTGAGAATAAACACCAAAATCAATATCCTCATTTAAAATATGTTTCATGGTAAAGATTGTGAAATAATTCACTTAGAAGATTTGCATTGCAGAATCACAAAAGTACTCCTCATGCTATGTGCTCTTTATTCCAAACAAAAAAATTCCATTCAAAATACTGCCATTTATGTGAAATAAGCGACTGTGGTGAGATGAAATAACTGTCTAGCTTGGTCCCCTCAGATTTTTATGCTGTTTCAGTGGCCTATATAAAGGACATATCTAGAGCATGTAAATGTTCCAGTCATAATACTCCATATTGCTGTGTCTCAGCTTGGGCAAATTTGACTTCAAAATAGTTTTCATCCACACATTTCTTGAAGGTTACTTATTTCTTTGCCTGCTTCTGACTCCTTTTGCTTTTCACCATGGAGAGGTGCACATTGTCTAAATATTGTTTTCCCAACAATTAAAATGAAGCAATAGATCCTCCAGTGGATAGACTGCTAACAATTACTTGGCAGAAGACAGAAAACATGCAGACTCTATTTGCATGTACTTCTGTTCACCCTTTTTTTCCTCACAAAAATACCACCCCACAAACCATATACAAAGAGATAATGATCAGTCCATAACAAGGGCGTGAGTAATCAAACTTCCACTTTCAACCAGCACATGAGATGGAGAGTTTGGGCAGCCTTGTTTGTTTAGTAAGTTTGCCAGTAAATGTAGCTAGGATAGAATTGTGTGGACCCAAACATGAGGAAAAAAACCATTAAGATAATTTTCTTGGCATTGTTGTTCCTCCTGGAGGAACAGGCTTTGAAACAACTGGTTTCCAGCTTGCAGAGTCTTTTGTCCTGTGAAGGGGAGTGTAAATGTTAGAAAATTCTTTCCACTGTCATTTAATGTTTTTCTTAATTTTCTATAACATATGAAAGTTACATAAATGATCCAGCAAAGTTGCAAGCTGTCTGTATCTGTTTGCTGCTAGATATACACCTACATTCCACACACGGGCAGATGTCCTGTTAGGATTTTTCTTGCAATTATTTGCCTTGCATTTGTGATGCAAAATCTAGCTGACATTTCTTTCCCCAAGCTGAAACATCTAGCTTCAAAACTCCACTACTTTATTGGTAAGGAAAAAAAAATGCTGACACAAAACAAGACAAACGTGCCACATCCTTCTGTGTTGATCACAATAGACCTTTTCTTGAAATTCTGTTTCTTCATAAAACAAATCTGATTGTTCAAAATAACACCCATCTTTTTAATTAAAGAGTTTGATCCAACAATTGGTAGGAAGATTGCACGTTGAAAAACAAACACACAAACAAACAAAGCTCATGCTGTCTCCAGAAGGGTATTTTAAATTGAACTGACTAGTGCACTCAACTTCAGACAATTTCCCCCAGGTTTGATCTCAGACAAACAGAGTTTCAATTACATCTTGTATACCGTAGGCAGTATTCAGACTTGAAAGGTTTTCAAAGATCAGGATGAACTGTCTACTAATTTAAAAAAATGAAAGGTTCCTCCACAGACTTACCCAACAGGAGAGTCTTCACCTCTGCACATAATTGCCTTCTCCCACTGATGAACGACTTTATCCTTTAGAACTGAGACTTCAACATTATGCCTTATCTTCGGTCAGATTTCCACTGGATATATAAAATTACATTGCGATTCCTTTGCTAAAGAGGAAAAAAATCTTGTATCGTTTGCATAGTACTAAACATGCAATTTAGAGACAAATATGCCAGGTTTTTTTTTGTGGTTAAGCATACATATGTATCTTTACATTAATCTCTATGTACTAATTAGAGTTACATAAACTCATTCCCACACAGTGTTGTGTTACTTACACATCACTTAACTGTGATATAAAAAGCACAATAAAATCAGTTTGATGTTCACCTGCTCTGATGGGTGTTAGAGTTTACAAATCAAAATAAACTGCTCCTACACGATATGCTGCCAATGCATACTGCTTTTCCTTCATTTATCTGTTAGTAAGGATGTAAGCAGGTCTTCAAGATCTAGATAAATTCAAGTTGCATCAACTGTAATGGAATCAGTATCAGTATCTTCTGTTCTAAATTAGCTTCAATCAGCAGCTTGCATGCAAACTGATATTTTGAAGTCAATGTGTTTTTTTGCATTACCTTAGACAGGTAAGTTAAAGTGACTAGAACTTAGCTAACTTTTCTGATAACTGTATTTTGGGGGATTTCTTAGCTCAAGTTATTCACTATTTAAAACTTCTGGATCTCTTCTGAGTTACCCAAAGACTCTTTACGTGGGTGAAGTTCGACAAGATCAAAAAGTCTTGCTTTCGATATTTCATAGAATCATATAGGATCACAGAATAACCTGGGTTTAAAAGGGCAAAAAAATTATGAACTCTATCACACTAACCAAACGCTAATGATAAGTAACTACACTTTACTTTATGATAGTTAAGTTATGATAGAAAAAAAATGGCATTTGAAAAGTAATAGTATTTTTTTAATAACACAAACACCAAATTAATTATTTGAAATCTAGTTTAAATGTCTGTGAAGAGATATTTACTGCAGTAAGCACCATTACTGTGAGAACCCTCTAGTTGATCAGACTTCATATTAAAATTCAGCTTTCAAAGAACCACCAAACTCTTCCTTCACTCAAAGTCACTTTCAAAACTGCGATCTAAGTCAGCCTTGTTAACGTTTACATATATATTCCATTGCTTTTGGGTAAGTTATTTTAATTTTAAATTCAAAAGCATTTCCTATAGATGGTTCCTAGAGCACACACAGGGAAACAAGAAACATCAGAAGTAAGTTATCATTAAGTAGATGTGGTAACGATACGCATTAAAAGTATAGGACATACTGTAGCTCAGGAGAAGATATGCTTTCTTATTGGGAAGAAAGATACAAAGTACACAGGACTTTAATTCTATTCTGAGTGGAGTATCATTCTTTGCTGTTTCCATCAGACTACATAGCAGTGAACAAACTTACAGGAAACTTGATCAACAAAGACAGGGATTCTGCAACTTACATATACAGAAAGATTTACTCATACATATAATTGGTGTTTTTAACTGGGAGATTTATCTTTACATTAATGGACTGTGGAATTTCCCTTCTCTTTCTTTTTAGTAACAGCCAGGATAGAATTTCATATCATTTTACTGGGTAGATATTACAAAGCTCAGTTTCGCCCTGTCTTTATGCAATACAGACAATATTGAGACCAAGGTAATGGAATTATTTTTTAACCATAATAATCAATTTGCTACAGAGAAAATAGAATAACTTGAATATATGAGAAATGTTGCTTGAATCTAGAGTCATGGCTGCAAAAATAATATTATTACTGATCACACTTGGCTTTTGTTTAAGCCTTATCGCTTCAGCTTAGTCTCTGAGGAAATAAAATAAATCAGATATTTAATTTAAAAGAGGAATACATTTAACCTGGAATTCAAGTGATCCTCAAAGGATCAAAACATAATAGCCAAAAAAGCTCTGTTTGTCTCCATATCTGTATGTATGAGTTTCTGATGGCTGAATTTTGTTAAGTAGTATTTCACAGGTATATAATAGTTTTTGATTGATCATTTTTGGAAAGTAGTAGGGATGCCCTTTAGCAGTCTTTCATATTAATGGGTTATTTCATATGTTAAACATGAGTTTTTCCCTGTTTTTGTATTTGTTGTAGCATTCACAGAGAAAGAAGATTGTACTTGCTGTAGAGAGTTTCACCATGGCTGCCTGCCACAACCCTACCCAGATGACATTTTGTCCCTGCTGTCTCTTCATCGTTATTATCCTCCCATATTCCAGCACGTGGTCCCATAAAGTGGAGTCCTTCGGGAATAGACCACCCTAGGCTGGGTCACCCACAGACTTAAGAACCTCGCAGATCACCAGCCAGACTGCTCCTGCCTAGGAAGGAGGAAGGCTGCAGGAAGGCAACATGCATCACCATGTTCTCTCTGAGTGCAGGAGAATCTCCTCTCCAGTATCTGGAGTATTTCCTCCCCATTCTTCTTAGCTGACCATGGTGTCCTCAGTATTGTGGTTCTTACATTTTTTCCCACTCCTCTCTCTCTCTCTCTCTCTGCTTCTGTGAAGTGTCTTTCCACAGTTTCTTAAATATGTTATCACAGAGCCCTAACTAGCTTGACGGATGGGCTCAGTAGTGTCCTACCCTTCCTTCATCTGTTGGAACCATCTCTGAGTTTGGGACAGCCCCATGACTCTTCTCACAGTTGCCACCTCTGCATAAACTCCTCCCCATCCCTGCTGCAAACACCTCATCTTTGTGACAGAATCCTAAACCATCAAAAAAGATGATCATAAGAGTCACCAAAATGTTCCTTGTCATTAAAGACAGGTTTAAACTGAACTGAATAACTACGTGGAAGAAGGAGAAATCTATGAGATCCTCTCAGGGAAGATGATGAAATAGATGACTGAGGAAAAAAATATCTCTTGCAGCTGCTTACTATGTTCTTGTACAGTAAGCCCTCCTCTCCAGCTCTTCCTGTAGTTTTCCACAACCTTCCTCCTTGGTTGTACCTCATTTATTTCCTGCTTTCCAACCCATGCAGGCACAGCTATAATGGTACTCTGCCAGTAGCTACTGCCCCAGGTCCCATGTCCCCTGGGGAATTTCCCAGGTTTCTTTTTGTGCTGAAAATTTCCTGCATTTTGCCTCTCTCACTGTTTAACTCCTCTCTGGGCTGTACCAATTCATTCATACTAACCATTAGAGGAGGGAGAGCTTTCTCTTCTCTGCAAGCTGTCCTGAACCTAGAGTGTAGTTGTGAGGAGTGCATGATACAGCTCTCCTGCCTACTGTTATGACACATCTGCTGAGAGTGAACAAACATTTTAACTACGTAAAGGAAGTTCTGCTATATATCATCTCATTGTATTTTTTAAAAACAATAATGAGAAACTGGAGTGGAATATACGTTCTTCCTAATGATGGAGACCCATTTAATGTATAGTTCCTTTGGTGCACCTGATGCTGGCAGCACCCTGAGCTGGCAGCCTCAGAATAGGCTTCAGTTGTTCCAGTCCATAGCTGTACTTCCACTAAGGTCAGGTCACTGTTTTGTACATGCAGAGCAATGTCTCAGTGCCTTTGTCCTTGGCACAGCTGCACACCCATCTGTGTACCCGATAAGTGGAAAACACAGGCTTGCAGATATTAATAATGAAAGTGAATTTGTTCTGTTAAGGATAGCCATAATTGAAGTTTCACTTTTGAGACTTCATGCAGTGGGTTTCAAGACCTTCAGCTGAAATACATACAACATTTCCAGACCCTTGTTCTGCAGAAGAGCAATAATGTTCCTTGCAATTGCACTGCTTACACATGACACTATGTGATTATGCCCAGTTTCTCACTAAATTGCGGTGATGTAGGTATTGAAGGATAAAAGGCTTTTTCCAACTGCATTGACTTCATATGACGAAAACCTATTATCCTACTGATTTACAAATTCTGTTGTTTTATTTTCTCAACAGTAGTCAACTGTATAATGTCATGATCTCCAATACTTCAGTTAAATTCTATTGAATAGTCTCATAAATAAGAACCAAACTGAACTCATTACAATATAAACTTTGTCATTTAACAGAAGAAAAAGAAAAAAAAGTATTCAGACCCATGTAGATGTTCTTCTAATATTAATGGAATCTGTAGCTGCATGAAATTTTAAAGATAGCTATGTAAGGACACCCTAAACCACCTACAGGTAAGCTAAATTTGAATTGGAAGTTGTGCAACTAAGGTTAGCCCAATCTAATAAAACCTGCTGGAGAGGAAAAGTGTTATTAATGGCTCAGCACCATAGTTACAAAAACATGTAACTTGGAACCAGCATAGATAATGGTAAAATTTTAGAATACCTTGAAAGAATTCCAGGAAAGAAAGCACGTAGTAAGGAATCTAATAGCTGAGTATGTGGATATTCTGCTTTCACAAGTACAGAGGATAGAGCAGAAGTTCATCTAATTCCTGGCTGATTTCTTTGGAAGAAACCGCAAGTCTTAACGGTGCAACATGATGAATTCCTGGGATGGAAGAGGACAAAATCATTTGTACAAGAAGCTTTCTAAGTGATGAAGACAATAGCATCCATTTCCAGTTACTGTCACCCAATTTCAGCAAAATGCCATTCAGAAATCCATGCATAACTTCTCTACTAAATAATATTTTTAGTGATATGGAATGAACTCAGCGTACTGTGGTGAAAATAGTTTCCTTTATTATACTTGTTTTATCATGTGACTTTATATTGACAATTGGTATCTTTTGACAAGTCTGGAAATTCAGTTATGGAAACATTCATAAATTAAGGAATTATCTTACATTAACCAACTCAGTGAATACTGTCTTAACTTTAGAAAATATTATTAATTGTGCTTCATTAATCCAGTTTTCCCTGCTATTTCTAAGTGCTTCTTGGCATGTTAATGGCTCTGGCTGTTATCAGTTGGCTTTACATGCCAGGAAAAATCATCTTGTTATGCCACCTAGAGGTATTCTTACTGTCCTTGTCCTATATTGGATATAATCTAAATAATCTCTAGTACTGTGGTTTAGTCTGCCTTCCAAAAACAGCACACCAGATAATAATGACCATATGAAGTTTAACTGAACCAGAAACCACAGTTCAGAAAATATCGTTTTCTATTTGATATGACTGAGAACGAAGACAACACTACCATTCAGTGTATCAACTTAAAAGCATTCAAGCTCTTCTCGAATAATGAAAACATTTTAACCCAAAACAGAGAAGCAAGCAAGCTGAAAATGGAGAAAGCAGGAACAGACTTTCTCTCTTATGTGAAATGGCATCAGTTTTAGTGAGAGAACAAGTGAACAAAAAATGTTCCAAAGCATCTTACAGTCATCAAGAAAGTGAACTTTGTGGTGGCAATAGAACCATTTTACCATCCTGAAAATTCATAGATACTGATCTATATTATTCAGCATTTATGCTGATGTTGAATTCTCTGTCAAGGAAAAAATGAATGGCAAATGTTTGGTATGCACAGCAATGGACAAGCACAGAAATATATTCTTCAAAGAAAGAATATTCTTGAAAAGAAGCATAGCTGAAAGTTAGCAAATTTTTCCTGAGCAGCTGCTGGTGTTTAAGAGTTGAGTACAAGAGTTCCTCATCCAAGCATGAAAAACAGGAGGTAAGGATCAGCTATTTCCTCCTTTTCAATGGTCATGAAATGGTAACTACTTTTTAGAGTACCTTCAAACATAGAGAGAAGACATTCTCAGCTTTGAGGAAAAAAAAAAACAAAAACCAAACAGTCCATTGTTGTTTGCTCTGCAGGCAGGCAACAACATGAGTCAGCTCTAAATTTCAATTAACTAAAATTTTTCAGAAGATCAAAACTTCAAAGATTACATAAGTAAAACTATATTGCATAAGTAAATTCACATAAGTAAAATTACATTAGTAAAACTAATGTTTCCCACAGAAACTCTTCAGACACAGAAGCAGTTTGAGATAACAAAAAAGGAAAAAGTTCTTCAAATCTCCAGTTGTTTGCAGCCATTATTCATATCTCAGTTAATCAGTTTCCACTTCTGCAACCAACCGCCTACTTTTTATTCTGGCATCCATCTTTCCACATTGGTCAGTAATTTCATTGCAGAGTCAGGTAAACTTATGCTGGTATATTCCCGAACAAAACTTTCACGTTGTAGAAGTTAGCGTCTCCAAATGAAAGGAAAAACCTCCACAATTAGCAGTAGCAATAATTCTTCCTAGTGTGATAAATGTACACGCCCGATGTTGGATAAAATACATTAGCACTGCAAATAATCTGCTCTGCTACTAAAAGTCATCTTCTTTCTTTCGTATGAAGAAAAAAGAAAGCCTAAATACAGTTTCAGACCTCTGCCTGTCAATATATTAGAAGAAAATCTGAATGGGTTACTTATAGCTAAGCTAGCATGTTCATTTCATCTACATACTCTCACTATTTGTGTAATATGCCTGAACAGAATACAGCTTACTGCTAGTGTTTAGTAAATACATTTTTCAAAATATGGAGACATTCATTGGAATGCTCTTTGAAGCATTTTGCTATTTTAAATGTATTAGGTAATAGTAATCTTATTCACGCATTTCTCTTCACAGAGAGAATATGGGACCATTCCAACATGAACACTTCTGCTTAATTTTGTATACAAAGTGCTTTGCTTGACAATATTGCCATGAGAAAGTACGTAACAAGTAGCTTTTGTGACTATTCATTCAGATAAAAATAAGGTAAATATTTCCCTCTCAAGCGCATGCCCTGAGTTGAGATGAAAGAATCAGACATGAAGAAGTTAAAGTTGGGAGCTAGAGTTGTGCAATACAGAAAAAAATCCTGTGCTTAAGACTAACCTACATGTGTTCTTGGTTTTTTTTTGAACGCTAAGCATTCTCTGCTTACCTAGGGATTTTATTATATAATATATGTTTGTTCACATGTTTTTACCAGGTATATATAATTATTTAATTTTTAACCAAAGCTTGATTTTACTTTGTTCTTCTCTATATGCTTTTGATCTTATCTCTCCCCTTTGATTGCACAAACAGCACATGATTGGCTTTGACTGTTCTTTGTGGACACAGAGGCAGTCAGTGCTTGTCATAAAGCCAAGCTCCTGGAGCCCATATGACACCTTGAAAAAGATCAGTTGCAGGAGTTTGCTGGCACTATTCCTGGAGGCTGTGGAGAGGTGTTATGCTAATGACTGAAGTCCATCAGTTAATAAAACAGTTCACCTCCAAATTTCTTTGTTAAAATGTTATAATAGTTCAGCTAATGTTATGATTCCTTAGTGTTTCCTAAGCCTTGTTTCAATGTCACTTTCACAATTTGGAGACATAACAGGATTCATGAAATGCCCTTGAAGCAGCATGAGGATTGATGTGCCTGGCATTGTTCTCAGGGGGCCCACATGTGGTGTGGAGGCCACAGAAGTGTGGAGGAGACACAATGAAGGTCTGGTGCAGGAAGGAGGAGATGAATCGCAGCAAATCCTGGGAAAGACCCTTTAAATGCTCTGGATGTGCTATGCAGCTAGCCAAGATGCTTATCTGCAAAGGTGTCTATATTTTGAATGAGCAGGTCATTATAAAAGAAAGCTGGAAATTGCCTCACTTAACCCTTTTCTTTTCAACTTCACTGCAGTCTTTCTTTTTGGAGCTTTATTGCTTAAAAGATAAAGTGAGAATACCATTAATCTAATGTGGCTTGTGTAACCATGGCTAACTAAATACAAATGTCTCAAGCAAAATACAGGAGGAACAAAATGCAAGACAGAATTATGGGTGATCTTGTCTAACATTTGATCTGTTATGTCCTTGGGTACCTTTGGTGAATGCATTCTTTTTCTGGAAGGAAGTTTAGAGTCCTGAGTTGTGCATGTGCATTTAAAAGTTTTAAAAACCAGATACAAAATACAATTTTGTTTCAGTTTTCTTAACGAGACCGTAAACTGTGCTTCCCGACTATTCAGCCACCAGAAAACAGTCAGATAATAATTTAGAGGGAGATTAAAAAATTGTTTGCTTTTCTGAACTACTAGTTATTTAACCAGGTTACTTCAAGCAAGAAATAAAATCTAGAACACAAAAATACTATGAGAACCAGTTTCCGAACCTAACAAATTCTCCTGAAAAACTGCAGTTCCTTACATCCATGGCCATCTTTATAATGAAATACTGGGCAAAACTCTGACAACTGGGAAATAAATGCACAAGGCTTGCATTTTCAACTGTGGCCAAGACTTGTGAAGGCATGCTCAGAGAAATTACTTTTGTGACGCTCAGATCAGAAGTGAAAAGTGCTGTCAGTCCTAATAGAAAGCATATTCCTGAGATGATTTACAGGTGTCAGAGGTCCAAAAATCTTCAGATCATCAATATTTTCTCACACTAATCTATTGTTTAAACTTTAAATAATCTTGTTTGCCAGCAGCACATTATAAACTTGTGTTAAAACCAATTGATAATTTGTAAGTCTTTCAAACCCTTACGACCATTTAAAAATAAAGAATTTAAGAGACTATTAATAAAGGAATTATTTGCTTAGTATGGTAAAAAAATGTTTCCACCTTTATGAAATAAAAAATTCTTCAATAATAGCATAATCACACTATAACTAAGCCTAACTGATTACACTAACAGATGTTTTGAACCACAAAAAATATTAGAATAAATATTGCAGAGGAATCAATTTTTCTTTTTTCCTTTAACAATGTTTGTATTAATTAGGAAGATGTTTATGAATGCCAGCAACTTTAGAAAAAAGAAAAAAGAGAAATTTAATAAAGATATGGGGGATAAGTATGGAAGAGATAAATACACACTTTACGTTGTGTGTGGATAAAGACAGAAGAAATCTTAAGGGGATGGTAGTTCAGGCAGAAGTGTTGAAGCATGGGAATTAACTAAGACTGGCCAGACTATGCAACCTGCCCAGACAGCAAAGTCAAACATCTCTGCTCAGATGGGCCCATGGCACTTGGTTTCTCTGATCTTGCTCTGACAGCTGTTCATGTATCTCTGAACTGGACACATTGACCCTTCAACTCTGTGTGCTAGCCAGAGTGAGCTATTAAGAGGTTAAATGGGTATTAACAGTAATCTTATTGTCTCTTTATGTGTGATTGAGCTCTGTTTCCTGGAGTCTTGTTATTAAAAGAACTATTTCCTTAATAGATTGCATTAGGTTACACAACAAAGGTAAATTAGGATTTATATGCACTTTAACAGTATGCTAAAATGAATGTGGTTCTACTTAAAGCCAGCATTAGATTTAGTTAAAATATCTGAATGTAAACAATTTTGTAGAAATAATAATTCGTTGAGAGGTTTCCTGCAATTCTTGATGTGTTAAAAAGCTAGTTTCAACTTCACTGATGCTCTTCCAAACAAGATTAACCACATTAATACATATATGTTAAGTACATGAAAGATCAATTCCTATAATGCCTTCTAAATTCAAACTGAATTAAAATATAATTTACCTCATATCTTTTTTTCAAG